TTTTTAGTTATTTTATGTGTGATTTAATACATTTACGGGGTAAGGAGTGACTTGTATTCACGGGTATTTTGTAATTTTATTTTGTTACACTACGTTTTCTATGACGGCACTAATTTATTACATTAAATTTATATGAATTCATTCTATTAATGTCAATTATTTTAAATATATACAGGGAATTTGTCCGCTTCTACTTTTATCACATGATACATATGTACTGTGTACATACGTACATAAATACATGTATATTCCACTTGCCACTTTAGAAACCGACCACACTCGACACTTTGAGTTAAGCAACTGAATTCAAATTGGAATAACATTGAAGAGGCTTCCTGCCTTTTTTAATTGAGTGAATTTTTTGGCATGAATTTTCCTGTGGTTCTGTTTGCTTCTAAACAAATTCTCGATTGCGGGCAACACTGTTTGTGAGTGGCATAGTTGGGGTTGAATTGCGCAAGTCAGCAAAATATGTGCAACAAGGAAACAGGGTGCCCATGTACAAAAACAAATTTGAAATTAATTTTGCACGTTTTATTCGTATATGGATATGTGTATAACTACGAAACTTTATGTTTTGGATAAGTTACTCACTTATTAGCTATTGCAATTAATGGAATGGTTTACTCATACTGTATGCTTTTTTTTTGTTTAGAGAACCTGAAGATTTTATCTTTTTAAAGTTTGTTACAAATTATTTAAAATTTGCTGTATTTGGATTTTCCAAACCTATATAGTATTATGAATAAAACCTTGAATTTTAAGTTTAATCATATTATTGAGTTTAATTCTAACACCTATTTCTTACTAAGTTTCTAATGAAACACAAAAAAGTGTGTTTAGCAATATAAGTAATATTATATTTCATTAAAAAATTAAAAAAAGGTATGAGTAATATAGTGCATATATACTATGTTTACAGTTTATACTATGTTACAGTTTAACTTCTTGCACCTCTTTAGTATATTCTTATAAGACTTTGTGTGAGAAATGGCATACCTTCTGCATATTTGTCGAGTTAAATACAATAGTAATCGTATACTGACTGAATTTCATCTATAATAAACATTTAATACAATAGTGTTAACATAGCTAAAGAACTAAACCAATATAATATCTAATTTTATCACTTAGGCATGATGGCTTAGTTGTAAGTGAAAGCTCAAGTAAAGTAATTCACATAACTTCAAATACAATAATTGTATTTAGATAAGTATTAAGTAATAGAATCAGATATATTATGCATGTTTTATGACATAAAATATAAAAATTTAGTGGTCCTGTAGTCCGTCGCTGATCAATTTATATCTAAAAAGTCGATTTGAAATGACATTTAAAATTCATCTTACGAAGCTGTTTTCATTAATATGTACTCGTTTACATACCATACTTTAACTTAATTGCAGATTTAAATATATTTCTAATAATTTAAAATATTTTATAGAAATTTCGTAATTATTTTCAATTCAAATTCTTAGTTTTTAAATAAATTAAAAATTGTATCAATATATAAGAATATTGTATTAACCTAACAGTCCTGCACCCGCTAATCCTCCTCCGCCACCAATCACTCCGGCACCTCCAATCAAACCACCTGCACCAGCAAAACCACCAGAAGAATAACGCGCTTTAAAGCCGCCGCCACCGAAACCTCTGCCGAAACCACCACCGAGTCCACGAGCTTTAATATGATAAGTTTCACGATAACGTTTAAAACCTCCACCAAAACCAGCTCCCGCAAATCCACCCGCTGCTGCTCCACCACCAATTCCGGCAATACCTGCACCACCTATACCAGCAATGCCTGCACCACCACCACCACCGCCACCCACTATTGGTTGTTGCACACTTGACACTATAGGGACTTGTTGCACAATTGGTAATTGAGAAATTACTGGCACAGCTTGGATCGTTGGTTCATTTGCTATTAGAGAACGCGTAAGTCTATTTTGATTAACAGCTTTTAATGTTAGATCTGAGTGATTTTCAGTATCTGCACAGTCTGTATTTATTATTAACAGGAATTTTAGAAATATCAAAAAACTAATATTTTTCATACTGTATTGTGTATAAAAAATTTCTTCTCTAAATAATTCCAACTTCTTCTTAAGTTTCTGACGTTGTGAATATAGGTTTCAATCTTTTTAAGGTTTTTATGTGTTTTTTTGTTAAAATTTTGTTTATTTTCTAAGACTCATTGATTGCGAAAAAATTATTGAATTTCCAAGTATACAAAAAAAAAACTTGTAAATTTTTTCAAATGTTTGTTTTGAATTTCATAATTGTTTATGTTGGAAGTTGTGTATTGTATTTATGCTCCGACTTAACCATCCATGCACGTGGTCACAACTGTTAAAATTGATGTGTTAAACTTCGATAGTAGTTTCCATGCCAATAACCTTCTCATATATTTAGCGAGATGCTAATGCTCAGACTCAGATTAAAGCAGGTATATATTTATTTCAGAAAATAACATATGTACATAAATATTACAATTTAACTGAAATTTCTTAACCATTCATTGTTAGTTCAGCATTGTTTTATATACGAGGGGTGTTCGAACAGTTTTAAGCTTAACATATAAAAATATATATCATTTCTTTGTCGCTTATTTTATGACATAATTTATTCATAATTTAAACTTTTTTATAGATGCTCTAATGCTTCCAACGTAGAAGCGTGTCTGTCAAATAACCAGTGACTGGTTATTCAAGACATGATTATAAAGGTACTTGATATCTTTTCAAGCGATGTCTGTGATATACGATGTCTTTACTAGGTACTTGAGTAAATTTTGTTACTTTTTTTTATTAAGTTTCGGCTACAATAACCGAGAGATGTCAAATGGGTGCGGTCGTAGAGTCATATGGTCTTTTGAATGTCATTATTCTGCATTAAAATTGGTAATCTGATATGTTATTGTGTGTGACTACGCCGAAGAAAAGATTAGTATCCCATAAAGACTTTCATTTTTATATGTTTAAGATTGTTTTCTAAAATTTTGTGCATAAAAATAAAATTTGGTTGTAATATATCCGCTTAGTGTTCAGGCGGAAACCTTTTAGAACGCCCTATGTACTCCTTTTTTTGTGATATTTTTAATGTTCATTGAAAACGATATCAATTATTAATCCGTTTATTTTGCAAATAATTAATAACTATTTGTTATTAAATCAAACATTGTTTTAAAATTATTGTAAGATTTTTAGTATTTTGTAAATAAATACAAAAGTCTATGACTGAAGTGAGCTCTCCGTAGTAGATAAAAATATAAAAACAGATGAAACACTTGAAAACAATATAAATTTGTAAACAAAACAATCATAGAAAGAAGAAAATATGCTGAGAGACTATAAAAGAAGCATATACATGAGTCTTGTCTTCCTAAGGCTGCAGTTTTGATGAATCTCAAAAAAGCAGATTCATATTTCTGATGAACAAAGATTGTTTATATTATGTTTTTATAGAAATAAGCTAAAATACGTAGAAGTTATTGGTCTTTTTCAATTGTTATCAATTTTAAAAATAAACAAATTCTTTTTTTTGAAAAAAGTTGTAGTTCTTGCTTTAAAATTTCTTAAAATTTAAAGTCATCAATATATCTGATTATAGTTGAAATAGTTGATTTAATATTTTGAAAATTTTAAAAGATAAAAGATAAAAGCTGATTGCCCTTTAAACTGATTTTTAAGTTTTATATGAAATACTATTTTTTAAAAAATTTAAAACAGACAAATTTTCAGTGAATCTCATTTTTCGTTTTTGCAGGTGTGAATTAAAAAGATAAACTTTGCACATAATCACATTAAAATTCATCAAACTTTTAGTAATTTACTTTAATATAAATGCCGAAAATATTGCAAAATTCAAACAGAAATCACAAGTAGTCCAGCGCTGGACGCAAACTGGCCGCACAGCTTTAAGCCAAAACTTTGACAGCGTTAAAAAATATTAAAAAATTAAAGCAAATAATTTGTTTTTGCGTAAAAAAAAGAAAAAAATATCAGACAAAACCGTCGCAATGTTGTTTAAAGGGTTGGTCATGTTTGTATGTTTCATATTGCTCCAACAACAACAAATATTGGCTCAACCTATTGAAACAGTAGCACTGCTGACACAGCCTCAAAATCCATTGGAGACATCAGTGGATGCAATTAATATTGACAACACCAAAGTGCGAAAAACTCGTCATTTGATTGGGGGCGGTGGTGGTGGTGGTATTGTTGGAGGTGGTGTAGTTGGTGGCTTCGTTGGTGGTGTTACTGCACCAGTTTATACAACACCCATACAAACTGTTCCGATAATACAGACTGTGCCTGTTATTACCACAGTTCCCGTCGTTTCGACCATTTCAACAGTACAAACAATACCATCTTATGCCTCTGGTTATGGTTATGGTGGATATGGAAGTGGAGGTTTTATTGGTGGTGGTCTTGGTTTTGGAAAAGTTCAATTTAAAGCGAAGGGATTTGGTGTTGGCGGACTTGGTGGCGGTATCTTCGGTTGAAAAATTGAATTATTAGAAATATCAAAGAGTGCAATAAAATTATGTGATTTAATTAAATTAAAAAAGCGTTCTACTTAATTAAAAACAAATTATGTGTATTAAAAAAAGTGTGAAGAAGTTATGTATTTGATATTTAATTGTCACTGGAACAGATAATTTTATTTATTGAAAAAAATAAAACGTTAAAATATGATTCACAAAATAAAATAAAATGTTTTTTTTTTATAAGTAATATATTTAATCATACTTCTTGAAGAGGCTTGATCCTCCAAAATCACAAGGTCACAAAGCCAAAATTTGTAGAAAATTCTTTTATATAGACTTTTATGTTAATAGATTTATATGTTGTATGTGTTATATGTTTATGCAATAGTTAAGATGTTCTAAATGTTTCACCATAATTCGCCATTCGCCATTTTGTCCATCTTGCGTTAGGTAATTTTTCATCAGAGGCTGGGCCAGTGCTTACTTCTGGTACTTAGAAGGGATGATTTATTCTCTCCATCATAAATGTAGAAAGAAACAAGAATATGGGGTTTACATCCATGAAAAAAAGAGCATACAATTTCTGTGATTTCAGTGTGCTTAAGCTTATTCAAATGATATATTTCGATTGTGTTCGATCCATGATTTGTGAACAAAAGTGACATTAGAATCGCGTGAGACATTATATATATTGAATGTTAAGAAAAATTTTAAAGGAATAATTATTTCAAATACGGTATTGTATTTATATATACTTTGCAATCTTTATTTTATGTAGATATATTTTATTTATTCGTACTACTCAAAAGCTGGTGTCAGTCAGAATTATATATTTATTGGGTAATTCCAAGTATCAATTATCTTGTAATTTTGTTTCTAATCAAATTTCCTAATTGATATAACATTGTGTTGAAAAAAAAATTGATTTAATATGAAATCTATGATTTGTTTATATAAAGTTTCAAGTATTTGGAAGTAACTGCCGCACACTGGCCCAACAAATCTAATAAGCCAATTTTAAATAATAAATAGATGACGTTGCTAAATTATTTAAAACTCTTTTATGTGGTCAAGATTGACAAAAGAATTCCGAAAAAGTTTTGATTGTGTATTTTTCATACGTTTATTTGATCAAAATTGACGTTTATAGTACTTATTGTGTACTTGAAATTAATACATAATACGGTGGGCCAAATTTCGTTATTTCAAAATAAAATTGTTATAAAATAAATAAAACTAATAAAACGATCTATTGTATTTTACAGTTATCAGACAAATATCTCTAATAATTTTGCTAATAAATTATATAAATTTAGTAATTTTTTAGGTAAGTATTTTTTTGTAGATATGAATATAATGTTATAGTTATAAGAAACAAAAATTTGACTGCACATATATCCACTTACATACTTTGACAATATATTTTCATAAATATATCTACAATAGTTATAAATATATCCATATATATAAAAAATTTTTTACCTCCATAGGTTGATAAATTTTGTTGAGTACATTTTTTTGCTTCACTGTTCTACAGATAATTACTTCCGTATAACAAAAAATAAAATTAAAAATCTCTTTTTCTTTACTTTACTAAAATGATTATAATTTTATTTCTTAATATTTTATTTGATTGAAATATTAAAAAAAAAATTAAGACACTAAAGCTATAAAATCAATTGTATAACATTCGCCGAATTTAGTTAAAATTAATATTTGGAACAAGTTATACGCTAAAAAAATGAAGACCTATGGATTGTTATTCCTGTGTCTACTTGGACTCATAGTTGCTGAACTTATATGCGCAGATGATGTAGATTCTATTGCCTTAAAAGATGCTAATTTGGATAATAATTTACCAGCTGTAGACACGGAGGGCCATGAAAATATATCAGCACGTAAAACTCGTCAATTCGGTTTTCCGCCTCCACCACCATATGCACCTGGTTTTGGTCCTGGCTTTCGACCTGGTTTTGGCCCAGGATTTGGTTACGGTGGTGGTTTTGGAGGTACCCGTGTTATAACTCGGACTCGTACACGTGTTGTTAATCGTTTCGGTGGATTTGGTGGTGGATTTTATGGTTAAAAGTTTAAACATTAAACATATATTAAACGAAAGTTTTATTGCTTGTACTGATTGTGTTGTAAATTTTAAAGTAACAAATAGTATCTTATCTTCAATCTGTGTAAGTGTAAGACTTACTAAATGCATATAAATGGACGAAATGTGATATTCTAAGCTATAGTAAATTGTTGTTATTAAAAGTATTTTATGTAGAATACTAATTAAATTTTAAAAATATGAATATTGTTAAAAATAAAAGTTATTAATTTAAAATTTTTAAGCATTCATTAAGTTTTATTAGTTAGGCAAAATAAAAGCATAAATTTATTAAAAGTTTATTAAACAAAATTTAAATGTGGACTGCTTGTTTGATTTAGCAGTGTATCAAATTTTTTTCGATATCTCCAATATAAAACAACATATGTGTTGACCAATATGTGTTTATCATATTGTGTATAATATAAATTAATTTGGCTAACAATCAAAGTTCTTTAATATGTGGTTGATATGTTGGATTGGGTAAAAAGTAATCAGCGTTTTTCTGTTAGTTAATCTCGAAGTTCATTACTTTGTTTTACATGCTAATAGGGAAATTCATTATTGTTGAACATTTTTTTATTTTTTAAGCATCCTTAAAATTATAGCATGTGAAATTTGAGCGAAATCCTACATAAATACATAAATAATACTAATAAATAAGTAATAATAAATAATAATAGGAATAAAAATTATGGAACGGGAATGTGCAAGCTTTTGTGGTTTTTTGTGATAAATATATTCTACGAGTATAATAACCAGTTGCTAAAAATGGTTCCCTGACTGAAACATGGTACTCACTTAATCGATCTGTTATTAAATAAGTCGATGAATAAATTGGATATAAATATTTATGAGATCACAAAAGAATTGAAATGTTGATTACAAAACATTTTTTAACTACTTGTAAATATCCGATTACAAAAAAAAATTTAACAGAAAATACCAAAGGAATTAAACAAGAGAATAGGTGTTGTGGTATACCACGATAATACCAGGCCATGTATTTTAGTGACTTTGCAGTGAGGTTTTGATTGAGATATCACAACAGCAAGTCGTCATATATTTAGACTACTGCAATCTTAAAAGATGTTTTAGAAAAGCATCTACATCATTCATAAAAGGATTTAAGCTTGGAATTCTACAACAAATATTTTTCCGTCAAAACAAAACAAAAAGTCAATTTTGATTACTTAAAATAGTTATAACAGCTAATATGTTTTAGAATATTTATAGTGTTAGTTTAATATTTCTCTAGATAAATTTAAAGGCAAGTATTTGATAGCATTGTTGTCAGTTTTGATGTATGTACATACAATTAAATATATTTAATATTTATATTAAATAATATTTTAATAATTAATATTTAATAATATTTAATTTATATTTTATATTAAAATGAACTCTGCAGCTCTGCTTCTCCATTAAACATTGAAAAACGCCAAAGAGCTCAATCGAAAATCTTTCGGCAAATAGTCGGTCACCCTGGTATATGAAAAATACGAATATTTATAGAGATCTTCGAATTAACAAAGTCATAAACGTAATTGTCACTAATACATAAAAGTACGCAGTCAAATTCAGGAATTACCTAAACTCACTTGCAAGCAATCTCACCCACAGCACTGGAACCCAGCGACTCAAAAGGAACTATATATGGTAAACCCAACTATTTAAGAAAACGAAATTGGACGAAGGGTTGACTAAGGGCAAATAATTATCTATTTTCTTTCTTCTACTACTGCAATTAGCGATAACTTATTGTTAGTTCTGCGGCCCTATGTTTCTCCTAGGAGGTGAAGGATTTAATATATAATATATTGTTAGTTCTGAGTTGATTTGTAGAAGATTTAATAAAAAAGGTAAAATAATTAAAAAAAAAAAAATTTTATATAAATATAATACATAAATAAAATAAATTCTTTGTGTTACAAAAATTATAAAGTCAGCAGAAAATTTTAAATATAAACTTCATATTATTATCCTAGATTCTATAACATAGAGTTCGGTATATTAATTTGATTTTAGTTTATGTCAATAATATTTATGTTTGCTACTCAATCCGGTTTCTAGTATTAGAGGTCAACAATGCATAAATTTGGCTTGATGTTATTTATATATCGTTTCATCTGTACTTTTTTTATCCCAGTATTTGTACAAATTTTTAGAAGACTGATTAATTTACATTTGTGATTCATTTCGGTTTCATTTGATTTCTATACAGTTTGTTAGTATATAGAAAATTTAAATTTTTATTTGAAATGTTTACAAATTACACATATATTTGTATATATGAATTATATTTGTATATATGACATAATTTCCATTGATTAGTATTTTGTCATAAAACATTTATTTAAATCGATTAAAAATTCTAATTCTCAAAATCAAATCAGATTAGTCCAACTAATATTAAGATTCTAATTAAAGGAGAAAGTGTCTTAATCAAGAAAATTATATTATTATTTAATTAACTGTCTTTTTAATTAGCTCATAAATATTTTTTATAACATTTAAATTAACTTCAAAACTATTTGTAACTGCGTGATGGTATATAAATAAATTTCATTTGACAGCTTTTACTTTTGAAGGGTGAACAGTTGGATGAAGTTCATCAACAGTAAACTTGTAATTTATTTCTTAGTTCCAATTTCGCTCAGTTGGTTCCACGCAGTGAAATGTAACGAGAATGTAACTGAAACCCAAACAACAACTACAAGAAAAACGTTCATAGATGCGAATACTTTTGACGCGAATGTGGGAGTTTTGCGTAAGTATTAATAGAAAAACTTTATATTTTAATAAAAAAATTGTTTGAATTCATTTAAGTTTAGCTACGAACCAAACTCAATTTCAATTTATACGTAAGAACTTACGAAAGTTTGCTGGACAGTTCCGTATGAGAGTTAGGTGCACCTTATGGGGTTGCCGTGATGTAAACGCTATTGAATTGCCGGAGTTAGTGCAATCTGCTCAAGCAGAGGTGATGGGATCAAATAAAAGGCCAATGCTTTTCAAAATAAGACAACTTTTGAGAAAAAAGGCAAAGGAAAATAATTAAAATCGTTCTTAGAATACTTTGGGAGGCAATGCAGTTATATCAACAAATGCAAATAAATTATAACTAAATAAATTTATAAATTTTTTAAAAATCAGAAAGAAGTCTCTAAAAACTTAAGTTATTTTTAAGGCTATTTGTTAGCGTTATTTCGAGTCGTTGCCACAGTTTTCACAATCATAACTATTATAATTGGCTATAACTATAAGTAATGTCATTGTCTTTCTTCCAATTATTTATAGTCATCCTAGAATTAAACAGATTTTAATACTTAATAACTGTTAGCCCGTTTTCATTTATTTAACCATTAAGGTACTACGTGTCTGTTAAATTAAAAAATATAAAAATGTTATAATAAATTTAATCGAGGATAGAAAAGAATACAAAATGTGCAACATACCGGCTTCCAATAGAGCGAAAAACTGCGACTTTGTCTGATCTTTAGTGATTTTAAATGAATTTAGCCGATAAAAGATATTTCGCCTTTTGTATAAAAGTTTTGTGATCATTTGGTTTATCACAAGATATAAAAAAGTTTATTGACTTTTTTCCAATTATCTTGAGGCATCTTAGAATTAAAAAGGATTTTATACTTAAGAATAGTTTGCACCCACTATTATTATTCCTATCGAAGGTAAAAATTGGACATATCTTTGTAATCAAAAATATTATCAATGAACCTTTGTTAAGTATTGCCATCTGGATTGCAGACTGTACCGATACTGGATTGACATTGTCTTTTTATATAAGTAATGTTATCAGAAATATATATCACGATATATATTAATCATACAGTAATAATTATTTTAATTCCTTTCCAAATACAAGTTTTGATTAAGATTCAGTTCTTAACATGAAAATAATAGACACCAACATTTTTTTTTTTTTTCTCTTTATTGAAATTATCTTAAACTAAAAAACGTGACAAATGTGATTTTTACTTAATAACTGAATATTTGGTATTGTTTGTAATAAAAATGATTTGGTAAAAAAAATGTAACTATTTATAAAAACTTTGTACAAGAATTTTCAAAAAATATTCAATTTTTTAGATAAAACATTTAACCAAAATGTTTACCAAAAAGATTCTTAAATCCTAAACCACCAAAACCTCCACCCAGTCCATGGAGTCCACCAAATCCAAGACCACCAAGACCTCCAAAACCTTTGAAACTTCCATGTCCTAAACCTCCAAATCCACCGAATTTGCCGCCCAAACCAAGACCACGTGCTAATCTCTCCGACTCTCCATCTATTGCCGATTCATTTGATTGTTCAATATCCAACAAAGTTAATGGAGCTGTATCTGATACGGCGGCAACAGGAACTTCGTAGATCGCCACAGGTACTGCTTGTGTGCTACTGATGTAAAATACACCCAAAATGCAGAAAGCCAAAATTGTAGTTGAATTCATTTTGATATTATTAAAGGGTTTTGATGAAGTAGATTTAATTAATTAATCCTTTATTTTCGTTTTTATAATACTGTACTCTTTTGGAGTGAAATTTGTACTTAAGGTTCAGTGAATTGCGTTTAGCTTTTATAGTTTGAAAATCACTAAACATTTTTGCCATAAATTTACCTACTAACCCTTGGCGTTACTTCATTTACAAATTTGGCTAAGTAAATTAAAGGTGCTAATTTGAATTCTAAATATCTGAATTTTGTATAAATCAAATCTAATTTCATTCATAAATCGTATTTGCTGTAACTACCATTTGCTAGCATAATATACTTCAAAATGTTTAAGTTTACATTTCCAGAAGATTGAAAATAAGCGACGCATGCGTAGCATTAATTCGGGTCGAACGAATTTCAAATGGGCTTGTTTATGCAAATAATTACCTTATTTATCTTATTTATCTGCTGATCACTTTATACAAAAGTTACATCATATTTACTTATCTTCACGCGAACTTAATCGTATGCTGAAGTTCATTTTGGTTAGTAAGTTTAAATGTTGAAACCGACATAGTACTTTGATTTGCCTTGATCCAATGTTTCAAAAAAAAAAACACAATTAGAAGAACAGTGAATCTTCAAATCTCTTCCAAATAGGTGCGAAATATTTAAGCTATGAAGTTCTTAAAAATAGATTTTGTTTGCTTGTATTCTATGTGTTATGTAGAAAAACATATTTGCTTTCATTTATGTACACACAACATTATTTGCTGACTTCACCCAAAATCTTTCTTATCAACAAGAGAATAGAATTTTGGTACTATTATTCTTGCATAACAAATAAAAGCAGATTTTAACCAATAGGTCCATGTGTGCTTTACGGTTTTTCACATATTTACCTTATCTAACCTAAATTACTTGATCATATTCTTGGACAATTTAATAAACATTATTAAAACTATTTGCAATTTTTCAAATTAATTGTTAACTATTTCAAATTAAGTAATAAAATATATCGGGTTGGTTTGGGTAAAATAATAAAATATACCATAATCTATAAGGTATACGTGTGGTGTCTTGTCTAAAGAAAGATTAGGAGCATTCGTTTATGAATCAGGCTAAAATACTCAAAAGTGGAATGACAATTATCTTGCAAGCACATATTTTATTTTAACTTTAAAGATAACCTTTAGGACCATAGTAACAGATAACGTGATAGCACTTAATGCGTTCAATTCTTTTTAGGAGATAATAAAACAGGAGTAAGAATATCTTTAAAAGTTGGAACTTCTTGGCCTAAATCACGTTAGAATATCGCTGTTTGAAAGTCCAGAATCATTCTGCGGCTTAAGCCATAATGGATTCTTAATTTTTACATAAACAATATCGCTAAATTTAATTAAATGTTGTGAATGAAATTAACGTAAAGATCGTTACAATAATTTTGGCAGGTCTTAGTAAGTTAAATTATCATCTTTGTTTTATAGAGAAAAAGAAATGGTTATCTAGTACTTGTCCATTTAGATAAACGAGAGAAACACTTAACTCGGCATCTTTTATCAGATGAAGATATATGACTCGTTAAAGTAGATTTGATACTACAATTTGTTGAGAAAATTGCAGTCAAAAGAATACTCCATCAAAGATCTATCATAGGGGCATAATAGATTTTTATTTTACAGAGCGAAATCCCTTAACTTAATAATAATATCCATCTTACAATTTAAAAAAAACATACTTTTAGCATTTTTCACACAAATAATATCAAAATACTATAATCAAATACAAAATTATATTGCAAGCCAGATGTATTTGTGTCATATATGTAGTTTTGAACATTAATAAATTGAATTAAATACAATATATTTACTTCTATGATTTTTTATAAATTTATTAATCTTAATAACTCATTGTATTGCTACAATGTGTTTATTAGGAACATGTTTACTTCTTCGAAAGATTTGAAATGTGGGTCTTCATTACTTATTCGAATCACTTCAAGAACTTCAATAGTTGCTGAAATGTCTCAATATACGAAGGAAAACTAAAGTTTAATCTCTGACATAGATTTCTATGACATATTCGTGTCTTCCTTTCTAAGATTAATCAACCAAGCGTGTATTTTAAGGTTGATTAACCCTCTCATTCCCTTGTTTATTTCTTTTTCGAATTAGAACAATTAAATTAGTGGGAAAAATATTTGGAAGCTGGCCGGAAAGGGCTCACTAACTCATGGAGAGTGTCATGCGATAGTGTACTGAGTTATTATTGTGCTTAGAATGTCCAAGTGTGCAACCCTCTGAATTTTGCTTAATTATTCTTGGCAACGGATCAGGTTAATTTTTCACCACTAATCATTTGAAAATGATTATATGTTTTTGTTAGAGATTATGCACACATACAGATTCGTAATTGATATTTCTAGTTAAATAAAATAAGTGAATTATATACACACAAATAAAAAATTTTATTCCAATTGTTCACTCAATTTTTCACGTTTATTGAATAAATTTGATGTTATATAATTGAATTTGATAAATTTGATGTATAAACATAAACACACTTTTCACATAATTTTGATTTATTTCTAGTTAATAATTTAACCACTATTATTCATTTTTTATGTATTTACAATAGATAATAAGTATACTACTAAAATATGCTTTTTTGTTTTATTCCAATTCTTATTCGTTTCAAATCTTTAGTTTCTATTGAGGCGTCTATATGCTTGAGTGTTGAGATTATGTGGCGGACGTGAAAAATTCTTTTTAAAGCCTGGCGTATTCAGAAACTTAGTGGATTGTTTCCTGTTTCCATAACTGTATGGCTTCGGTTCTCTTTCATTAAAAACTTGATTATTGAACTGATTTGAATTAATACGATCTTGATTATTCAAATATGACATATAATCAAAATTATTTGAACTATGTTTTGGTCGTTTGAAACGATAGAACTTATCAATATTACCACCTTGTATTGATGTGGATAATATATCAAAGTTCATTTTTTCATCTATAAAATTATTATTTACTGGTTTTCTAGACTTTCGTATATAGTCTTTTACAAATGCTCGTGACCATACTACAGGATCCAAGTTGGCATCGTAGCCAGCATGTTCAGGAAACCATGGTGTTGGTGCTGCTTGAGTTGATTTCTGCTGCCAAAGTTCGAATATTAAAAGTGTTGTGATAAAGTAATATTTATAAAACATTTTTTATGCTGTTTGTTTATATTGTTTCCGTTTAATATTTAAAATTCAGAGTTGTCCGTTTTGATGGAGCTACAATCAGAGAATGTTGCACCTTGAACTTGCTGCCGAGATAAAAATATGTCTAGAAATTATTTCTTCAAACATTGGACTAGTTTGACAGATTGATTAGATATGTGAATTACACAAATACGAGGATATGCACATACGGAAAGTTTGCATTTCGCATATTACGGATACAATTATATACACTTCAGTTTTCTCATTGGTTTGGTTCTGTATTTATGTATTTTGTTCTACTATTCTTTTAAACCAGAGTTGCCATGTTTTAGTTAAATACATGTTAACCGGACTACTTCTGCATAAGTTACTTATGAATGTATCATAAATGAGAGCATTGGAAATTTGTGTCTTCGTGACT